GGGGGGGGGGCAATGAAGCATGAATGGTTGGGGCAGCAGCAGAAGACTGGCACTAAAAGATTGCCAACCCTTGACTTAGAGGGTAACAAGGGGCTTTGGTCTTAATCTAAAACCACATATTGACATCAAGGAGTTTAACTGGCATTTCTACAAGTTATTCTAATGCCACACTGTCTGGGATAGCTTACTGTTGCCCCTAGAGCACTTGCAATAGAAAATCACCATTGTCCTTAGACATTTGTTCCTTAAAATTGGTCAAAACTCTAAAGCAGGCATCAACTTTAAAGCATAACATCCACCTTCACTGCATTCCCTAGCTTCATGGAGCAAATCCTTCAATATGATGAAATAGATGTAACTTGCTAAATGAGGTTATGCTACAGGTGTGGCTGGTTTAAACTGGGTCTGGTCCAGTTACAACTTGATGCTTTGGTTCCTCATTAATATGAAGACACTATCTTCAGCTAATTTCTAGCATGCAAGGTTTTATGCACAGGATCTTCATCCCCTGTGCCTATGAACATCTTAAGATAAAGGTAGCTGTGGCCTCAGCTAATTCATATAAATATGGTACTTAGAGGAGCAAAATGTGTTTATCAAATATTAGACAACAGAAATTTACCAAATACCAAGTGCCCAATTTCAAAAGTTGTAATAGCCAAGAAGAACAGGAGAGATGCAGCTTTTTTTTTTTTTACTGAAAGAATGGTTACTAACAAGATAAAGGGACTTCAGCAAATCCAAGGATTTTTAAAAACTGCACGTGCACCATTGGATTTTTAAAAACTGCACGGGCCCCATTCCTGCTGTAATGGAATTTGCTGCCTATACTGAATAAGCCGAATTCAGACAGCGAATCCTCTCCTTAGTTCATGCTTGTATTGGTTGCTTTGTAAATCTCATTTCCAAAGGCAAAAAGCTTACATTTATAAATGGCTGATAGGGGCGTAGGTTGTAGCTGTGTTGGTCTAAGGACATAGGCAGACAAGGTTCCTTGGGGGAATTTGATATCTTTTATCAAATTCCCCCAAGGAACCTTGTCTGCCTAAATGGTTGATAGGCACTCTGAACATTTATCTAAAATGAGTAGCCTGGTAATGCGAGGAAGCTTAAGAGCAGAAGAATTAGCAAAGGAGAGGTATCTAGGCCTGCACCTATGTACACCGTGATGCTGTCTGCTCAGGGTACCAAAATTGGTTAAGACCCTGAGTTTAAGGAAGGTTCAAGAAGCCCTGCAATGAGAGATTAAAGTTTATCTAGAGGCTAAGATTTCCTCCCCCGCCAAACTCCTGTCCCAGTCCCTTCAGTGGCTAATTACTGCCTTTAAGGAAGATTTATATCTCCTCCAGATTTTGATAGTCTCTTTAATCTTTCCTAAATGCATGCTTTGTTATCCAATTGGACATTCCCTGTTATTTAGTGTAACTTCACAACTTCAGTGTTTAAGGCACTGGTAACCCTAATGACAGCATATAGTTGTAGCTGAACCTGACAATCTTGTTCTAATGTGTTCAAACTGGATGAAGCCAAGGCTTGTTAAAATTTGGGCAAGGCAGCAAAAACTCTACTACTGCCATTAAAGTCCAAATGTGCCATAGTGCCCAGTTATACTAGTCATAAGCTGGCACCGTACATTTTCCTGCCTTCGGTGACAGTCTTCTGTGTTGGCACAAAGAGTATATTCAGGGTGTAAGAGAGCCTAGATTATGTAAGACCTGAGTTGTATGTCAGGTAGAGGTAGAGTGCAGTCCTTTCAGCTTTCAGGGGAATACAGCTTGACAAGGTGCTGCAGTTCTGTCGCATAGCCAGTAATCGGGCATCTCTGGTGACTCTTTACATAGTTATAAACACAGCGGTAACAGAACACAAAGCCTGATGTGGACAAGACGGTGTCATTGGTTCGGATCTTGCGGCAGAGTGGACACACTGTCTTCAGTTTTGGTAAGAAAGGTGAGCCTGTGCCGTGGTCAAGGTGTATGGGGGGTGGAGGAGTAGGGAGTGCAGTCAGAGATTTGATGGTCTCCTGATTTTCAGATGAGTACCACCAGTCCAGAAACTGCAGGAAGAACACACCCACAGAGAGACCAGTGGACAGAGAGAAGGCAACACCTCCCAATACTTTCTTCACTGCTGCATGCACTTGGTCCTTGATGCTGTATCAGGGAGATGAGGTATGGATAGTTAGTACAACACATTTGTCCACCTGGAAACAGTGCTAACAGACAGAATTGATGCTATGTAGTAGAGGTTCAGGGCATCCCCAAGTGGCAATGGGCTTAAACTACAGCAAAACAGATATTGATTAAACTTCATTTAAAAAACCCCCCTACTTAGATTCATAGATGTTAGGGTCAGAAGGGACCTCAATAGATCATCGAGTCCGACCCCCTGCATAGGCAGGAAAGATTGCTGGGTCTAGATAAACCCAGCTAGATGCCTATCTAACCTCCTCTTGAAGACCCCCAGGGTAGGGAAGAGCACCACCTCCCTTGGGAGCCCGTTCCAGACCTTGGCCACTCGAACTGTGAAGAAGTTCTTCCTAATGTCCAATCTAAATCTGCTCTCTGCTAGCTTGTGGCCATTATTTCTTGTAACCCCCAGGGGCACATTGGTGAATAAAACCTCACCAATTCCCTTCTGTGCCCCCGTGATGAACTTATAGGCAGCCACAAGGTCGCCTCTCAACCTTCTCTTGCGGAGGCTGAAAAGGTCCAGGTTCTCTAGTCTCTCCTCGTAGGGCTTGGTCTGCAAGCCCTTAACCATATGAGTGGCCCTTCTCTGCACTCTCTCCAGGTTATCCGCATCCCTCTTGAAGTGCGGCGCCCAGAATTGCACACAGTACTCCAACTGCGGTCTGACCAGCGCCCGATAGAGGGGAAGTATCACCTCCTTGGATCTATTCGTCATGCATCTGCTGATGCATGATAAAGTGCCATTGGCTTTTCTGATGGCTTCGTCACACTGCCGACTCATGTTCATCTTGGAGTCCATTAGGACTCCAAGGTCCCTTTCCACTTCCGTGCCACCCAGCAGGTCATTCCCTAGGCTGTAGGTGTGCTGGACATTTTTCCTCCCTAGGTGCAGCACTTTGCATTTCTCCTTGTTGAATTGCATTCTGTAATTCTGCATTCCATACTTATAAAAGCAGAGAGAGCGAACAAGTTGCCTAGGCAAGCTGTACAATCTCCTTCACTGGAAGCTTACAAGAAAACGCAACTGGGATGGTTTAGCAAGAGTGAATCCTGCAACTGGACAAGGGTTGGACTGGATGACCCTTGAGGTCCCTTCCAACCCTCTGCAATTGTGTTTAACTTTTTAAAAATTCCCTGTTACACATGTATGACATGTTTACAAAGCTATTTAGGATCAGCCAGATTCTTAATGCAAATAAGTCTAGGAAGGTATAACTTGGCCTGCCTAAGAAATATAGCAATTCTTAACAATTTGAAAATTTGATCTAGGTTTACTGCATTTCTGAGGTAGAAGAGCTTAGGACAAGAGACAACAGAACCTTTCACCCAGGGATCTGTGTTTCAGAAGGCTCAGGTTAGCAGTACCCAAAATTCATTGCTGTCTGAATAAGGCAAGTTGCTCATCTGAACAGATAATTGATGCCATCAATCTCCCTTGGTACCAGCCTCAGAAATGACATCGAGTGCTGAACAGGTCAGAGACCAACTATCCTTACATGTTTCCAGCCACGCAGCTCTGCAATTAACTTCAACAAGAAGTCTACAAGACTCACTATTTCATTTATATTTAAAGTGCATTATGACCTTCCCTCTTTTCCTGCTCTTAACCTCTAACACTGATGGTTTCATTTCACAGAACCATCTGTGAAGAGAGAGAACCTGGAACATTGCCACAAAGCATTGCAAAAGCTCTATGTTGAATGTGTTAGATCAGGGGTGTTCAACCTCCAGCACACAGGTCAAATGTGGCCATGGAGCCATGGCATCTGGCCCATGGGGGCTCCCTATGGGTTGGCAAATTTGGTGGTGAGGGAGCAGTGGCAACTAATACTATTACCCCTCCCCTGCTGCCAAATTCCCAAGCCCTGTGGACCAAATTGGGGTTGGCCATGCTCCGCCCCCCAGGGCCAGACTGGGGCTGAGCCACACCTATGGGCTCAGATCAAGGCTGGGCTATTCCCTAACCCCCTTCTCCCCACCACACACAGCTGGACCAGGCCCTGCCTTGCCTGTCCCGCACACTGGATTGGGCCCATTTGCTGGAGCACTGTCTGTCTGGCTTGCAGGGCAAAAAGGCTGGGTACCACTGGGTAAGATTAGTCTATAACTTACCTGTGGCTTGCAGTAGCTGCAACCAGTTTCTTCTCCAAGGCCTGGATATCATCCACTGTCAATCTTACCAGGCGTACACCAGCCAGCCTTAGCAGCGGTGAATGGTGTTGAGCCTTACCAAGGATGTAACAGAGCTGCTGGATGAGAAACCAGCCCTCCCAGGCCATGTTTACAAATGGGTAGGCTGCTAGAAAGGCCCTGTAAAAGCGCTTCCAGGCAGAGGATGGAGGGTGGATGGAATATTCATCTTCTTCTCTTAAGCTGGAGACCAGTTTCTCCAACTTCCCTTTCAGGTAAGGAATGAGGACCAGCAGGAGGAGAGACTTCCAGTGCTGCTGCTTTGGAAGTCCAGCACTTGCCAGCCGACATGGCCCCTTGCTGTGTCCCAACACTGTCCTCTTTAAGCTATAGAAGTTTTCAGAAAAAGAAGCACTGCACTTGGACAGATAATGCTGTTGGAGCAGTAGGTCCAGGAGTGCATAGATTTCATCAAACCAAGTCCAGAGGCAGCCATAACGGCCAGGATTGGATTCAGCAAGAACCTAGTACAAGGCACACAAAGCAGAAAAGATGTCAAAGACCAGCTCATTAAATAAAAGTTGCCATAGCCCACACATCCACTTAATGAAACAGTTCAGAAACAAAAGACCAGAGGCATGATTACAGCAGGGCACTGTGAGCATCATATCTGACCCTAGCATGTCAGCTGGTTATTAAATAAGCCAAATGTGAATCTTGGCTTCCAGGGATGAAAAGCTTCCAAGCTGATGGCTGTGTACACTTGCAAGGCTTCCAGTAATAACAGTGCTTCCTCCCACAACAGGTACATGAATACACAATGTGTAAGTGTGTTTCACCTGCACAAAAAGGAGCTTGTTCAAGAGATACCTTGCCACTTGCTGCATGGAACTAAGCAGCATTAGCAGAAGCAATATCCCTGGCAGAAAAACCTAAAGTGTGCACTCATCCCTTCATGAACTAGGGAAGACCAGGCTCTCCTCAGTTCTGGCTCCGTCTCAGACTTGCTCAAAAAAAAAGATTAAGTTACCAGGCCTTTCTGAGTTTCCTCCTCTGGAGACTGTTTCCCTGCCTCAGCGCAGGGAAGAGGATAGGTTAACAGAGGGGTGGCCAATTATTTGGGCCTGCAAGCCAGATAAGGAGTTTTGATGAGTTGTTGGCCTGGTCAGCATCCTGCCCCCCTGCAAGCCCCCACCAGCTCACTCTCCAAGTTGCTGATCCTGTTGGCCTGCCCATGTGGATCCAAGCTGCCACTTTGGTTTGTGTCCCATAGGCTACTGCTGCTTAGTTGGGGATCCTAGCCCTGCCTGCCCATCCTGCTCCCAGATGCTGTTCCCTGCCCATCTATGGCCCCATCCCAGCCAACTGCAGAGCAGAGCCACACTCCGCTGCCTGCACACGCCTGTGATAGGCGTTGCTCCCTCCCTGCATGCAGAACTAGTGCCCATTGCAGCTGTGTGCAGGCAGTCGATTGTGGCTCTGCTCTGCGCTTGGGCAGGATGGGGTCGCAGATGGGCAGGGAGCAAGTGGCTGGGATCCCTGGCTAAGTGGCAGCAGCCCACAAAACTCAAACAGTAAGCAGCAGCTTTGTGGCTGACAGGACCAGGCAATGGGAGCACGCAGAATGCAAGGGGCTCCTGCCAGTAGTCCCAGCAGGGGCTTGACTTTCTGTGGATGCCCCGACTCCTGGCACTACGTGGAGCTGAGCATTAGCCCAATTCAAATGGTGCTGGGCAAGAGACCTAAGCAGATGGCATTTGCAGTCCACAGCATGGCTGGAAGGAGCCAGGGATGGCAGCAAAGGGAGCAGAAGTGGGAGCTTGGCAGAGGGTTGGGGCTTGGAAGCTCCTGCCAAGGTGGGGAGCAGGGGGGGTGCCTGGGCCGGGCAGGGCTGTGCGGGGCACATCAGCTGGTAAGTGCCGGGTGGGAGCTGCACCATGGGGGCTGCGCTGGAGACGTGGACTCTATAAATGCAGGTGGTCGCTACCGGGCTCCTGTCCCGAGGTGTCTGGCGCAGGGTCCGGCCCTGCAGCCCCCGTTGGGCACCGATGCTCCTCGGGCGGGAGCGGCGGCTTCGGTGCTCAAAGCCAGCAGCTGCCCCGCCCTCGTCCCGGCCAGGGCGGCGGGACCAAGGGGGCCGGCCCTGGGTGAGCACCCCCACGCTGCCGTGCGGATCCGCGTGCCGCCCCTCCACCTA